ATTTTGGTGTATTCAATTTAGTCTTTTTAAGATTTTCAAGACTTTTAAAAGCATTATATAATTTTGAGCTATTTAATTTATTTGAGATTTAGATTTGCTATAACTTTTTTAAGATTTTGTGAGATTTCTCATAGTTTAAAAAACTAGATCGGACCGGCTGGTTCGACCGGTTTAACCGGGAACCGGCTATAACAATTGTCCGGTTTGAGAATTTGACCCGATGGGCAAAAGAACTGGTTCAAAACCGGTACCTGTTTTCACGGCCCAATGGTTCTTAATTTTACAGTTTGAGACTTTGGTATAGTGGTTGTTGAGGCCCTTTTGGTATATAAGTGGCATGTGTTCGATTTTATCTAATCCCAAATTTCACTTTTGTTTTCTCATTTTCCCTATCATCCATCCTCTATATTCTTCATTTTCTTTTTCTATTCAATTTTCAGATTTAGATATTCTAATTATATATGTGCGTGATCTAATTTTTTATTTACTATATTTATTAAAAAACAATTGAATTATTGGGCTGATTGAATTCTTATTTAGATAAATGTTAATAGACACTATAATTAATGATTAAAATACACAAAGTTATATATTTATACGAATAAAATAAATAAACAATTATATATTCAATTGAACCGGTTCGATCATTAGTCTGATTAGTGAACTATTGAACTGGTAGTTTCACCGGTTCGGTTATTAGAACATTGAGATTTCTAAAGAAAAAATCTTAGGGTAAATAATTTTTTCTATCTTGTACTATACGTGTTTTTTAGATTTTCAACATAAAGTATTTTTTGTTGTTAAATGCAACCTGAACTACATATATACAATTTTTTGCACATTCGATTACTATTTTACCATTCGATCATCTGCAAAAAAATGACACGTGATGACCATGATGTGGTCGAGCGTGCAAATAGTGATTGTATATATAGTCCAGGTTGCATTTTACAACCAAAAATATTGTATTCGTCAAAATCAAAATCACTCCTCAAAAAAATTATTTACCCAAAATCTAAATCACTCCGCAATATAAAGATTTCACAGGATTCGTCAAAATATGAAAATCTTTAAAGTCTTAAATTTAAGAAGTCTCAAAATGTCACTAGAATTACTAATTAACTACGCCCCGTTATTTCTTTTTCCTGTTTACATGCATGTATGTATACAAACTAGTGAAAACTAAGGGGGGTGTATTCGTTTCGGAATTCAAGTGACATATAAAGACTTTTTAAGATTTAAGATTTTTGAGGATTTTCAGATTTTAAAAGAATCCTATAAAATACCAAGTCTAAAGGTGGGATTTGTAGTGGGATTTCCTACATGTTTTTTTCTTTAAAAATCCCAGCAAATCTTAAAAAGTCCTTATAAATCCTAACCTTAAATTTGTTAAATACACCTGGATTTCGTAAGACTTTTTAAAATCCTAATTGAATACCTCAAGACTTTTAAAAGTCTTGAGAAATCTAAATTAAATACACCTGGATTTCTAAAGTCCTAAAAAGTTTTTAAAAGTCTTTATAAATCCCAATTAAATACACCCCCTAACTTTTGGCACTACTCAACTAAAATTTCGCATATGATTCAACTAACTATTGACTCCTTTGGTCCACGATACTCATAAATAACTTAACACATTTAAACTTCAAAATTTAAAATTTCAACTTTAACATAAACTCAATACTCAAATGTGAAATATTAAAATTAATATAATTTATATATATGTAACAAAAATATATGGAATGCAAAGAAGGAAAAAAAATCTAAATTGTTGAACACTTTATTTGTGAAGTAAAATTTGTGAAGCTTTGATACATTTGATTATGAGTAGAAAAGTGTGAAAACTACATGCGGACGGTTGATAAAATTATGACGAATTATGACATAAATTCATTTGAAAGTTAATAGAAAATATTTAAAAAATTAGACTTATTTTTTTATTTTTTAGATCCTTACAGTCATTCGCTCTTTTATTGGTTTATCAACTTTTACACATAAAAATCAAAATTAATGCAACTCGAAATATTATATAACAAATAAATTGAGATTTTTTTTTATCTAACATGTAGTATATAGATTGTTCGAAAAATCTTTTATAAATCTTATTCTCTTTTTATGCACACATATATTAAAGAATGTGTAAAAACATTATGTAAATATGTTTAAAACTATCTAATTGTTATGTGTTCACGATATTACAACAAAAAACATTAAGAATACGTGGACTATTATATAACATATGTGAAAATATTAAATATTATATAATATTATTAAAAATGTGAAATTACCTCAGTTTTTTCTCGACATTTTATAAGAAAAATATATATATCCTTAAAGTTAATATATATATATATATATATATATATATATATA